GGGAGACCAAAGCTTAAGCCTCTGGTTTCCAAGCTAGGTTCTCGAGAAAACTATGAAGTCACTCAATCGCTCGCAGAGGAGCCGATTTCCCATACCTTTCTTTGGTTTGGCTCTTGTACTACTGGTCTTCTTGGCTTCTCCCACCAGATCCTGCACAGAGCAGGAGAAGAGTTCCCTTCTCCAGCTTCTTGCTGGGCTCTCGCAGGATGGTGGTCTCACGGCATCATGGCGGAGCAACACGGACTGCTGCAGGTGGGAAGGGATCAGCTGCAGCCTGAATAGGATGGTCACTGATGTTGTGCTAGCTTATCGAGGGCTCGAGGGGTCCATTTCGCCGTTTCTAGGCAACCTCACCAGCTTGTTGCGATTCGATCTCTCCCACAACTTGCTGTCTGGTGGCTTACCGCTAGAATTGTTGCAGTCCAGCAGCATCCTTGTCCTTGACGTCAGTTTTAACCGCCTGACAGGAGGCCTGAGTGAGCTGCCATCTTCCACCCCTGTGCGGCCTCTGCAGGTACTAAACATCTCGAGCAACTTGTTTACAGGAAGATTTCCATCCACTATATGGGAGGTGATGAAGAGCCTCGTTGCCCTCAATGCCAGCACCAACAGTTTTACCGGGCAGATGCCAACTATGTCTTGTGTTAGCGCGCCATCTTTTGCAGTGCTTGAGCTCAGTTTTAACAAATTCAGTGGAAACATTCCTCCAGGACTCAGCAATTGCTCCCTGCTGAAATTGCTCAGCGCTGGCAACAACCACCTCAGTGGAACACTTCCAGATGAACTCTTCAAGGTTACCACATTAGAGCACCTCTCGTTACCTTTCAATTGGTTAGAAGGAGAGCTCAAAGGCATCATCAATCTAACAAATCTGGTCACCCTTGATCTTGGGAAGAATGAGTTCAGAGGCAACATACCAGAATCTATAGGTGAGCTGAAGAAGTTGGAGGAGCTTCTCTTGGATCACAACAGCATGTCAGGGGAGCTTCCGTCAGCGCTGAGCAACTGCACAAACCTCGTAACGCTTGACCTCAAGGTAAACCATTTTAACGGAGAATTTACCAAGATCAACTTTTTAAGCCTGCCCAATCTAAAAATATTAGATATTCTTTCCAACGACTTCACTGGCACAATTCCAGAAAGCATATACTCCTGCAGCAAGCTAACCGCACTACGGCTATCTTTCAATCATTTCCATGGCCAATTGTCAGAAAAGATAGGCAATCTGAAGTCTCTCTCGTTTCTAGCACTTGTTAACCTCTCCCTTACGAATATCACAAGAACACTTCAGATCCTTGGGAGTTCCAGGAGCCTCACCACTATTTTTATTGGGTTCAATTTCCTTCATGAGACCATGCCAGAGGATGACAACATTGGTGGTTTTGAGAATCTTCAGGTTCTTTCTATGAATTATTGTTCATTGTCTGGAACATTACCTGGTTGGTTATCAAAGCTCACCAAGTTGGGGATGCTATTTTTGCAAAGCAATCAACTTACTGGACCAATACCTGACTGGATCAGCAGCCTAAAGTTGCTCTTCTATCTAGACTTATCAAACAACAGCTTTACGGGGGAAATTCCAACTGCCTTAATGGAGATGCCAATGCTAAAATCAGACAAGACTGCACCGAAGATCTTCTCTGAGCTGCCTCTTTATTTTTTCAGTCCATTTGTCGAATACCTCAAACCTGGTGCTTTTCCAAAAGTGCTCAATCTAGGCATCAATAATTTCACTGGTGTGATCCCAGAGGAGATCGGTCAGTTACAAGGGCTCCTTTTACTCAATTTGAGTTCCAACAAATTATCTGGAGAGATTCCACAACAGATAGGCACCTTGACGAACCTGCAGCTGCTCGACTTGTCCAGCAACCATTTCACTAGTACAATTCCGGCCACACTAAACAATCTGCACTTCCTTTCCAAATTCAACATTTCTAATAATGACCTCGAAGGCTCTATTCCAACTGCGGGCCAGCTTAGCACATTTCCAGATTCTAGCTTTGATGGAAACCCAAAATTGTGTGGTCTGATGATTGTAAACCATTGCGGTTCAGCAGAAGCAGCTTCAGAGTCCATCATCTCCAGAGAACAAATTGGCAGTAAGGTCATCTTTGCGATCGCCTTTGGTGCTTTCTTTGGCGTAGGAGTCCTATATGATCAGATGGTCTTAGCCAGATATTTTGGCTAAAACCTTGTAATTGTTATCCACCACCCAAACCATGACGCGATCTCCGGTGGTCATCAGTGGCTCCAGCTCCAGCCCTAGCAAGATTGACATCCCTGCTAAACCTGCTATCTTGACGTTTGCTCTGTACTCCATGTAACAGGAAAAATGATTAGTTAGTGAGCAACGTCAACAGTGTGTAAGCATATTGTTTTTGTAGAATGTTTAACTATTTGTTAAGTACTTAATTCTATACATACGCATAGGCTGATGAATGTTTCTATTTGTTAAGTACTATTTGGAAGTTGGTCAGAGTACAACACATAACAAGCAGAATCGCGAAGCAGACATAAGTAATCTGCAGTGTAGCACACTCACATGACACTGAGATTTCAGAGCAACATGACGGATTTAACCGATTAAGCCAGACCGGTGCGTTAACAGATCGATCAAGGGCAAAACCGGAAGGAACCTAAAGCTCGATGCAGTTGCCATCAAACTCCAACCCAGGATCGCAATTCTCCGCAGCAAACAACACACGCTAAGAGAAAGAAATCAGAAATGTCAACGAAATTAGTACTACAATGCACATGAATTAAGCAGCTGCTCCGTGATTTCTACAATACCTCGGATAACGGACTCACTCGGACATCGGGCCTGCATAGGATCTTCGATCCCCTGCCTGCCTAGTTTCCTCCTGCCCACAGAGGCGGGAGCACCAGTCCGCCAAGCCGCCGCACGCCGCTGTGCGGCCTTGAGCTGCTGAACCCCTTTGTGTGGTACGCTTTGATCTCATCTCCCTCGACCTGCCAAATCGCCCAAGCATAAAGCCATGCACAGGTGGTGTAACTAAATAATGTTGCGGCGTTTGGAAGTTCTTTTGCAGAAAGACTGGATACAAAAAGGGCTGTTCCACATTTCGACAAACACTTTCTGGGCAAAGACCGGCTGCCCTCTCCCACGCCACAGCAGACGCAGACCCCTGCTACTCCCGCAACCCCTCCACCTCAGCCTGCCATGCGCGCACAAAAGAATGTGCTCACGGTGATCAAGCAGTTCACGGAGCTCATCCAAAGGATTGGAACCATGACACAACCATGGTGCCCCAGGCACTATCATCGTCACACTAGAGACCAAGTGCCCCAAGGAGCTTGGCCACCACTGTCCTGTTTATGCATTGGGGGTGTTTGTCAGAATGCCTCTTCTCTAGTGTGACGATGATAGACTAATCCTTTGCCGATTAGGTTGGCTGGAGCCTGAAGTTTGAGAAACATGCTACCACACCAATTACCTGGAACCAATGCGCCCCCAAAGGCACTGCAAGCTTATACAACTCGTGACTTAAGTGTAGCTGGAGGATTCTGCTGCACTCTGCCCTGCACAATTGAGGTGGACGTACGAAGACATCCATCTTGTTGCTGTAAGTGATCAAAAGATGAGAAGTGTCGTTACATTGCACGTTTCAGTGATTGAACTGGTAGATTTTTGGATGCGTTTCAAGAAGATTTGGCATACTTTAGTTGCATTATGAAATTGTTACTCATCCATTCCTAGAACTACGATTCTGGTCTAACTAATATTTAGGTTGCATATGATTTTCATCTACCAATCCGTCCACCCTCATCCATCAATCTGCCTGTTCGTCGCGCAGTGCTCAGTGGAGGCACTTCAGCACGAGCTGACCTCAGAAATAGTAGTGCCAAGTCAAAAAAAGAAAGAAAAAGAAATAGTAGTGCCTGTAGTTATCAAATCAGTTCCAGTGATCAATGAAAAAGAGGATAAATGTGTGCTGTCTGTTTGCCGGAACCATCAGCAACCAGGATTTCTGGGCTGCTCTGCCTTGTGATGACTGGGAAGGCTTTGCCTTACCCAGATTTGGATGCCCCCAGCTGAAAGCATAAAGGGCGTGAATCCCCCTAATCAACTAGGGTGGCCATGCCACACACCTTTGACCTTCCTCCATCGCGTCTTGGTCCAGCTCACCAAACCCATCGTGTTTGGGGCGAAGTGAAAACATTTGAAAGATACACCTACAACAACTGGAAAGGAATTGAAGAGGGAAAACATCAAAACAATATCAAGCAACACAAGAAAGCAATTCAAACCCATATGATTTTTTCTTACGCTGGTTATTTGATTCGTAGGATTGTAATAACAAAGATATTCCCCGCAAAAAAAAAAAACAAAGATATTAAAGATTCTTGGTGCATCTACTAGATGCTATTGTTTTGTTTAAGAAAATGGACGTAGCTGTCATCAGATAAGTTGTAAAAAGTTCAGACCAACTCTAGTCAAACCCAATGTAACCCAACTATATATCTGATGTGTGATAGCTTCAGCACTGTCTTTTCTGTATACACGAGTTGCACTTATTGACCATGCAATGACCACTTACAGCTGATAGCTATTTTAAACTTAAATTGCACCTATTCCATCAGACATGATAATCTAAATTGCGAGAAAATGCATACAATGTTCAGTAAGCACCGCTTCACGTTCCTCCACGTGCTCTTCTCCAAATCATGTATGTGCATCGACCCTGACATCAATGACGGGATGTGAATTGTAGAATGGTAGAAGAAAAGGTCAGATTAAGTATGAACACACCAATTCATGCTTCGGAGTCAGACTCATGAACAAATTATAGTGGACACGCAATAGTAACTAATCCTTCACCTGAATTCTTTTTTCACCACGATGACCAAAACAGTTCAGACAAAACCGAGACCAGAGCAGGTTATTCCTTTCCTCTCTTGCTCCTTCATCAGAAACTAGTACTTCATCCTGGCAGATCAAAGCTTAAGCCTTTGGTTTCCAAGCTAATTTCTCAAGAACCATGCAGCTACCCAGTCACTCACACAAGAACCGATTCCTCATACCATTCTTTGGTTTGACTGTTGTGCTACTAGTCTCCTTGGCTCCTCCCACCAGTTCCTGCACGGAGCAGGAGAAGAGCTCCCTTATCAAGTTCCTTTCTGGGCTCTGGAAAGATGGCGGCCTCACGGTGTCATGGCGGAGCGACACAGACTGCTGCAGCTGGGAGGGGATTACCTGCAGCCTCAATAGAGCGGTCACTGATGTTTCACTGGCTTCTCAAGGTCTTGAGGGGTCCATCTCGCCGTTCCTTGGCAACCTCACCAGCCTGTTACGTCTCAACCTATCGCGCAACTCGCTGTCTGGTGGCTTGCCACTGGAATTGGTGTCATCCAGCAGCATCATTGTCCTTGATGTCAGTTTCAACCGCTTGACAGGAGGCCTGCACAAACTGCCATCTTCAACCCCTGCCCGGCCTCTGCAGGTACTGAATATCTCGAGTAACTTACTTACTGGGCCATTTCCATCCACCATATGGAAGACAATGAATAATCTGATAGCACTCAACGCCAGCAATAACAGGTTTACTGGGGCGATACCAACTTATTTCTGCAATGGCTCACCATCCTTAGTTGTGCTTGAGCTCAGTTTCAACAAACTCAGTGGCAGCATTCCCCCAGGGCTTGGTGGTTGCTCCATGCTGACAGTGCTCAGAGGTGGCTACAACAATCTCAGTGGAACACTCCCAGATGAACTCTCCAATGCGACCTCATTGGAATGCCTCTCTTTTCCTAACAATTATTTACAGGGTGTTCTTGATAGTGCATGCATATTCAGCCTCAGAAATCTCCGAACCATTGATCTTGGAGGGAACTACTTTAATGGCAGGATTCCAGATTCTGTAGGTCAGCTCAAGAGGTTGGAGAAGTTCCAACTGGGCCACAACAACCTGTCATGAGAGCTGCCACCGACACTGAGCAACTGAAAAAATCTCATAAGAATTGACCTTAGGAGCAACTACTTCAGCGGAGAACTTACCAAGGTCAATTTCTCCAACCTATCCAGTCTAAAAACTTTAGATCTTTGGTTAAACAACTTCACTGGTGTAGTTCCAGAAAGCATCTACTCATGCAGCAATTTGACCGCGCTGCGGCTAGCAGCAAACAATTTCCTTGGAGAACTCTCACCGAGAATAGGCAACCTGAAGTATCTCTACTTCTTGTCACTTGGCAAAAATAATTTCACAAACATCAGAAATGCATTTCAGATCCTTAATAGCAGCAAGAAACTTAGCACCCTGCTTATTGGGAGCAACTTCAGAGGAGAGCTCATGCCACAGGATGACAGAATTGATGGCTTTGAGAATCTTCAGGTTTTGGACATGGATGGTTGCCAATTATCTGGAAAAATACCTCTATGGATATCAAGGGTCACGAATTTGGAGATGTTAATTTTAAGAAGCAATCAACTCACTGGACTAATACCAGGCTGGATCAACTCCCTAAACCATCTCTCCTTTATGGATGTGTCAAACAACAACCTTATAGGAGAAATTCCATGGAGATGGCTCCTTTCTCTTCTCTCCCTTCGTCCCCCCGCTCCCCGCTCCCCTCCTCCTCCCCTGCCCTTGCCGCTGCCCATGCCCCCTCCCCCCGGTCTTCTGCGGGTCGGGTTGGCTCTCCTTGCTCTTCTACGCCGGCGCCCTTCCCTGGTTCGCGTTTTTGGGCGCTGGGCGACTCGGTGGAGTCGGATGATGATTCGGAGGTGTGCGCTCCCTCGATGGTGGTGCCGGTGGTGCCGTCCGTGCCTGCGGCGGGCCGCGCCCGAAAGTTTGCTCCGGGTGGCCGGGGCCAGCCGGTGTCGTTTCCCTCTGGGTCGTCGGGGTGGTGGTGCGTTGGTCGGGGTGGTGGTGCGTTGGTCGGCGCCGGCGGCGGGCGGGTCGGGGCCCGGCTCCTTCCCCTGATCTTGGTCTCCTCGGTCCTTCCCCGTCCGCTGTGATGTTAGGTTTGGTTGATGTGGCGTCTCCGGTCGCTGGTCCTGTTCGCCCTCCTCCTCTCCGGCCAGGGCCGGTGACGGTGGCGGCGGTCGCGCCGGCTGGTGCGGGGGCGGTTGGTGGCCAAACCCTAGATCCGGTTTGCCCTGCGGTCGAGGTGGGCCTGGCGGCGCCTGGTCCGACTCGGGCTGGGCCGTCCGGGCCCCCGGTTCTGTCGTCCCTCGAGTCTTCCCCCCTCCCGTCTGTGGGCCCGGGGCAGCTGGTTGTGGCCACTGCTTCGCGTCCGTCCCCCTCCCGGGCCTGCGGCCCCGTTTCGGCCCATTCGGCCCTCTCTGGCCTGGCCTGTTGTGGCTATTTATGGGTGCGCCGCGGTGCCTCTCCCCCCTTCCTAGGGTTTCCTGCTTCCGCCGCCGATATCCGCAGGGCACATCGCCCTATCCGCCACTTCTCTAGATCCGCTTCCTCCCCACCCCTCTCCTCCTCTCCTTCGCTGAAGTGATCGCCATGGACAAGTCTAGGGGCTCCTCCTCCGAGGCCCTTTCGGGTAGCAAGCGGGCCCGTGAAGCTTCGTCGGGCGATGGTGTTGATCTTGCCTATGAGGCGGAGCTGCGGTCGAAGCTCGAATCTGAGCGGGCGGTGCGCGTGCTGCCGGGCGAGCGGGAGGATTGGGAGGCGGGGCCAGAGTGTTCCGCCGCCAGATCTGGGGCGGCGCTCCCTGGATCTGGAGGTGCGTCGGGGTCGAGGCTGGATCCATGGTAGGCTGCTGCTGCTTCGGCTGGAGGTGGCTCCTCCTCGTCGGCGTCGAGTCCTGCTCCGGCCAGGGGCCCGGTCCCTCCGCCTCGGCCTCCCCCTCGCTCGTTTGTGGCGGGCGCTGCCTCTCGCTTGGGGTCGCGCTTCGGGCCTGGCTCTTCCTCTTCGCAGGCTGGGGACCAGTGTCCTCCTTCCTCAGCTTCGAGTGCCCCTTCTGCGCCCCGTGGCGATGGCATCCTGCCGCCGCCGCCTCCCCCTCCTCGACCGCATCCTGTTCCCTCGGGCCCTTCTTCGACCCTGACTTGTTTCGCTTGCCACCGCTCGAACCACTTCCAATCTAGATGCACTAACCCACCCTTCTGCCTCATTTGTCGCTCTGATGGTCATCTCACTGTGGACTGCCATAACCGTACCAAGAGCCCCCCCTTCATACAGTTTGGCTTGGATCTTCCCGGATGCTCATTCTTCGCTTTGGATGCTGATGTTCCTGTGGTGATGGCTGCGCCGTCCCTCTCTAACGCGGCCATCATCACGGTGTGTGGCCAGTTGATTTCTCCGCAGACCCTCTTGGATGGTTTGAAAATATGGGCGATGGTGGCTAGGACTGGCAGGTGCGCCAGCTTTCAGAGTATGAATTTGCAGTGGTTTTACCCTCCAAAGACTGTCTAAGGATGATCTCCTCGTGCACCAGTTTTACCCTCCCCCTGAACCAGCTTGTGGTATCTATCAAAGCGGCTACTTGTGGTGCCAAGGCGGTGGGCCCTCTCAGCAAGATTTGGGTGCTAGTTGACGACGTGCCAGTTGGGCTTCGATATGTGGAGTTCATGATGGCGTTTGGTAAGCTCATTGGCAAGCCCGTGGAAGTGGATTCGGAATCTTTGGGCAAGGTTGGCCCGGTTCGTCTCAGTGTTTGGTGCATCGACCCCGTCTGTGTTCATGGTTCTGTTGATGTCTTCCCTTCTCCTGAGGGTGTGCGACTTCGGGTTCGGGTGGAGGGTGCTGAACCCCGTGCTCCACCTCCGCCTCCCCCTTCCAAGCCTTCGGACCATGATGACATGCAGGGGGATGGTTCGGCTGGGGGGCATAACTCAAGTGGAGGGACTGATTCGCGTTTTACGCAATCTGAATGGGATAAGTTGGATTCGGATGAACGCGAGCTGCTTAAGGATAATGCCCCTGCTCCTAATCCTCAGAAGGAGGACTTGGCTTCCCATGGCGTTGTTGGTGGTAAGGGGACCCCCTTCTCTGGTGTCTGCTCCAATGTGCCTACTCGCCCGCAGTCTCCGTCCTTCTCTCGGATCGAGGACCTTCCCGCCTCCCCCATGCGCTCCACCGAGCCCTCAACTAAGAAGAAGAAGACTTCGGTCCGGAAATTCTCGGCTAAGAGTCGGGCCTCCTCTACTTCCAAGCTTTCGGCGGCGGGTCTGGCCCGTCGTCTGGACAAGGATCTGGGCTCCGCCTCGGGGTCTGGCCCCGGGCCAGCGTCGCCGGTCCGGTGCTCCCCTATGCTCCATTCTCCGGCGTCCACGGCGCGGAAGGGCCGGCGCGTGCGCGATTCTGGCGTTTCGGTGGCGGTGCGGGCGGAACGGCGTGCAGCGGCCAGGGACCTCCCTCCTACAGGTCCGTCTGCCCTCCCATCTCTTCCTGCCTCTCCTTTTCGCCTTGTTTTACCAGCTCTATCAGATGATCATCTGCTGCATATCATGCCTGATATTGGGGTGGCTTCTATACCGGGGATGGGCTCTCCCTCCCACCTTCTTTCTGTCATTAGGGCCAACGAGGCAGCCCAAGCTTCTATTGCTAAGGCCGTGGAGGCCGCGAAGGGTGCTGGCCCTGCTGGTGCTCAGGGCCGGGCCGGGGGGTTGGAGGCGACAAATGGTTGTGGCCAGTCGTCTGCCCCCCGGCCCTTGTTAAGGTTGGGCGTCCCAAGCGATCTAAGCCTTGTGTAGCCCCGTGCAGATTGAGTCTTCCTATTAAAAACCTTTCCTGCAAATGAGAGCTTTATTCTGGAATATTCGTGGTTTCGGTGCTAGGGGGCGCAGTGACCAGATTCATGACTTGGTTTGTGGTGAACATATTGACATTTTAGGGTTGGTCAAAACGTTTAAGGAATCCTTTTCCCCTTCTGAACTCTCTGCGATAGCTGGGATGGATAGGTTTGACTGGCACTCTCTCCCTGCTTCGGGCCATTCTGGGGGTATCTTGATCGGGTCCAAGCGGGACGTTTTTGATTTCATTGCTTTTGATCATGGTATCTTTTGGGCTAGTTGTGTGGTTCACCATCGTCAGTTGAACACTTTGTGGGAATTTATGGTGGTATACAGCCCTGTGAATCACACGCTTGCTCCTCTTTTTTTGGATGAACTTTTGATTAACATTGAAGCTTGTAATATTCCTCTTTTAATTGGGGGAGATTTCAATTTGTTACGTTCTCCGGCAGACAAGAACAATCCTAATTTCTCTTGGCCTCTTGCCAATGCTTTTAATGATTTCATTAGCAATTGTGCGCTTCTTGAGCTCCCTAGGGTGGAGGCGCGATTCACCTGGTCTAACCATCAATCCTCGCATGTCCGGTCGGTACTGGACAGGGTTTTTGTTTCTGATTAATGGGACTCGCTGTGTCCCCGCGCGTTGCTTAAGGCCAGGCCTGCGGTGGGCTCTGATCATGTTCCCCTGATCCTGGATGTCGGTATCCTTTCACTTGTCTCTCCCTCCCGTTTCCAGTTTGATGCGTCTTGGCTTGTTGTTGAGGGTTTTTGTGACATGATGCTTTCTAAGATTACTAATCTTCTAGCTTCCCCTCATCGTTCCTTTGGTCCCATGGATGATTGGCACAAGTTGTCTTATGAGCTGCGTAAATTCTTGAGGGGGTGGTCTCGGAATAGGGCGGCCGATCTGCATAGAGACAAAGAGTCCCTTGAATCTCAAATCCGGGATTTGGACCAATCTGCTGACACATCTAGGCTCTCCGCCTCTCAGTAGGCCACTCGCTACTCCCTGGAAGACGCTTTGATGGTGCTTCACCAGCAGTCAGAAATTTCCTGGCGCCAACGAGGTGCCCTCAACTGGACCTTGAAGGGTGATGCTATGACGGCATATTTCTTTGCGATCGCGAATGGCAGACACCGCAGATGCTTCATTGACACTCTATTGATTGACGGCGTTAAAATTTTGGACCAGTCCCTCATCATGAATCACATTGTTAGCTTCTATTCCAATCTACTCGGCTCTAAGCCGGACCCTGGGTTTGGCCTCTGCTCTGACTTCTGGGACGAGGGGTCTAAGATCTCTCCGGGCGAAAATTCGGGCCTGATGGTCCCCTTATCTGACGATGAGATCTGGCAGGTGATCAGCTCGGCTAACCTGAACGCTGCTTCCGGCCCAGATGGTTTTTCTATCCCCTTCTTCAAAAAATTCTGGCAGCAGTTGCGGCCTCTCATTTGTAATATTATCCATGGGTTCTGGTTGGGTACGGTGGATATCTCTCGCCTTAATTACGCTGTCATTTCCCTTATTCCTAAAGTCAAGGGCGCGGACTTGATCTCGCAATTCAGGCCGATTGCCCTTATTAATAACTTCGCCGAGTTTCCAGCTAAAGGGCTAGCCACTCGCCTCTCCCCCATTGCCCATCGTACCATTAGTCCTTTTCAGTCGGCTTTCATTAAGGGTCGTTTCATTCTAGAAGGGGTTCTCTGCTTGCATGAAATCGTTCATGACCTTAAGATTCACAAGTCAAAAGCGGTGACTCTAAAATTAGACTTTGAGAAGGCATATGACTCGGTGAGTTGGCCTTTTTACGTAGAGTTTTATTGGTCAAAGGGTTTGAGGGGCCCCTTGTCCATAGAATTCTGCAGTTGGTCTCGGGAGGCCACACTGCCATCAATGTTAATGGTCAGGTTAGCAAATTCTTTGCCAATGGTAGGGGCCTGCGGCAAGGCGATCCTGCCTCTCCCATTTTATTTAATTTTGTTGCGGATGCTTTATCTCGCCTGCTTTCCAGGGCCGCCACCTGTGGGCCCATTACTCCGGTTTGTTCTAATCTTATTCCCCATGGTCTGACCCATCTCCAATACGCGGACGACACTATTATTATGGTCGAGTTGAATGAGGCCTGCCTTGCCCACCTCAAATTTATCTTATTATGCTTCGAGGCGATGTCGGGGCTTAAGATTAACTTCGCCAAGAGCGAAGTGGTTGTGACTGGTGTGGAAGAGTCGGAAGCCGCGCGAGTGGCCCACCTTCTTAACTGTAAGCTGGGCTCCTATCCGTTCAAGTACTTGGGTTTGCCTATTTCCCCGGATGTGCTTCATGCCAAAGATTTTGCCCCGGTAGTCACAAAGGTGGAGAACAGGGTCCTTCCCTGGCGGGGTAGATATAACTCGAATGCGGGTAAGGTGGCCCTAATTAATACTTGCCTCTCCTCCCTCCCCATGTACCTTATGGGCTTCTATCTCTTATCGGCTGGGACTCATGCTGGTTTTGATAAACACCGTGGGGCGTTCTACTGGAATGCAGGGGACAATCGTCGCAAATACCGCTTCGTCAAATGGAAATTGATGTGTAGGCCCAAAAACCTTGGGGGGTTAGGAATTCTTAATACTTCCATCATGAATCAATGCTTGTTGATTAAATGGTGGTGGAAGATTATGAGTGCTGAGGATCAACCCCTTTGGTTGTCGATCCTTAAGGCTAAATATTTTCCGTCTTCGAACCCGATGTTTGCTTTGCCGCGTGGTGGCTCTCAGTTTTGGAAGTCTCTGGTCAAAGTTAGACCTGTTTTCAATCTTTCGTTAAGTTTGTTGTTGGGGACGGATCCTCGATTAGGTTTTGGCTTGATTGGTGGTATTGAGATTCACCCCTCTCGGTGACCTTCCCTACCCTTTTCTCTTACTGCTCTGATCCTAATATTTCTATTGCGAAGCTTGCGTCCCAGGGGTGGAACCTGGCCTTTCGTCACTCTCTGTCGCCTGTAGAGCTTGAAGATTGGCAACGTCTTACTGCCCTCTTCCCTACGCTCTCGACGGTCAGGGATTCGGTGCTTTGGCCGCTTTCTGCCTCTGGACGTTTCTCTGTTAAGTCTCTCTATTCCAAGCTCGTTGGTGGCACGCCTACCAATCGTTTTTCCCAAATTTGGAAGGCCCGTATTCCCCCTAAGATTAAAATCTTCTTGTGGCAAGCTTTCCGAGGCCGGTTGCCCTCGGCTGACCAAATCCGTAAGAGAAATGGGCCGGGCTCCCAATTTTGCGCCCTTTGCGGTGATGTGGAAGACTCGAAACATATCTTTTTTCACTGTCACCTGGCTAAGCTTGTTTGGAGTTGCGTGCGGGACTGGCTTCGTGTCTCTTGGGCCCCTGCCTCCTTTGCCGAGCTGCGCAGCTTGGCTTCCAACCTCTCCGGTGTATCTAGGCGCATCTTTTGGGTGGGCTTGGGGGCTTTATGCTGGTCCCTGTGGACAACTAGGAACAAATTTACTATCGAGCATGTGTTTCCGGCTAAACCGGCTGACTGCTTATTTAAATTGTGTGCTTTCCTGTAGCAGTGGAAATCATTGACTAAGGTCGACGACCAAGAGGCGCTTTCTATGCTGATCTACAAAATCCGGACGACGGCGTCTCAGTTATGCAGACAAGAGCAGGATGCTTGATTGCTTCTTTTGGGCCGGATGCTTTAGCTTCAGTTGGACCTTTCTCTTCCGGCTTGCGTGTCGTGTACTGGCGAGGGAGCCATGTACCTGACTTTTTATCCTCCGTCGTCTCGCCCAGCGTTGGGGCTTGGGTGTGTTTGATACGTATCTGTGATGCTGTTGCTACCTTACCTTTTGGCTTTATTTATAAAGTCGGGAGTATGCCTTCTCTCTAAAAATTGGAGAAATTCCATTGACCTTGACGGAGATGCCAATGCTAAAATCAACTGAGAACTCAAGTCATTTGGGCCCAAGGGTCTTTGAGCTGCCTCTTTATATTGATCCATCACTTCAATACCTTGCAGATACATCTTTCCCACTAGTGTTGAATCTAAGCAACAACAACTTCACAGGTGTGATTCCCCCACAGATTGGTCAGTTGAAAGTTCTTGTTGCACTTGATTTCAGCTTCAACGAGCTATCAGGACAGATCCCAGGATCAGTACGCAATCTCACAAACCTGCAGGTCCTAGACTTGTCCAACAACAATCTCACAGGTGCAATCCCAGCTGCATTGAACAGCTTGCACTTCCTTGCAGCGTTTAATGTTTCTGGCAATGACTTAGAAGGCCCTATTCCATCTGGAGGACAGTTCAACACATTTGAGAGCTCTAGCTTTTATGGGAATACAAAACTCTGTGGGTCTATGCTCATTCACAAATGTGGTTCAGCAGAAGCACCTCCAGCCATTATTCTGTCAAAAAAACAAACTGATTACAAGGTGGCTTTCGTGACTGCCTTTAGTGCGTTCTTTGGTGTAGGGGTGTTGTATGATCAGACAGTCCTATCGAGGTATTTTGGCTAGTATTACTCCAATATACATATCTGTTTATTGCCAACTTAGATCATATTAGGCTGCTATCTAGGCTTAGCAGCATGTCCAGTGATGAATAAGCTTATGCTCTAGGTATGAGTCATAAACTCATAATTAGGTCTACAAGATATTCTAGGATCAAGGGTTATTCTACTTCTTGGAGATGTAAAAGTATGTAATATTGTGGGACGGTGTAAACTGAAGAAATATTATATTAATACAATGAGAAGTTGACATTCTCGACTCTGCTGTGACTCTTTTCAGAGCATAAAAATCATTGTAACTTTAATTCATTATTTCCTTTGCTTGCTGAGCATTGAGCAATACATAACACTGGCGTCATGCTACTTTTTTAGGTATAAGACCAGTACTACTACTAGTGCACCATAATCTGTGAAAATGTATGAAGCAGAGAACGTCCAATTTTGTAGCTGAGCGCATTTTGTGAGGAGTGCATCCCAAGGTTTTGTGTGCCCAGGACGCTAATCTGTAGCCGAAACTACTTCACGTACGACGGTTTACAATCCGATTGTCATACTACAAGTGATCCAACGACATCTTTAGCTACGCGCACGCGCCCCATTCTCAATTCAGACGATTCTTTCCACAGGAAGTTAAATTTCACCACGTACCTTGGGAGCGTGTGTCCACGGACCTGCTTCCCTAGCCTCCGTCCGCCAGCGCTACCCAATCCGATTGAGTTCTGGTCAAGTGCGTCCTACTCAGAAGGAACAGTGAGTGCCAGCCACTTCGAGTTCTCTCCAGATCATAACAGATATATTATAACCCACATGTAAAGTAATATTCTCATGTTCTTTGTCTTACAGACTGAACCACTCTACTCTGATCAACGACAGATGAACAAGTAGGAAGAAAGAGAGCCCGTATAATGTTACAGCGCAAAGGGCACAAGGCATCAGTATCAAGTTGATACTATCAACCGTCCACCAGGTCCATTAATCTATCTGGAGGAGGACAAACTCGAACATTGGTTCGCCAGCGCAAAGTGATGTAACCTCTATCATGATCAATGATGGACACTCCAACAACAGGAAATCAAATGAACTGCAGCTCCACATACTCAAGAGCATAAAAACAGCATCAACCTAAAAGAAATGGAAAGCAGTCCTTGCTCACACAAACAACTTTCAACCAATTAATCCAAGGCGAGGGAAAGGCAAGAGCACAGATGAAGCGAAGGGAATGATTGGTTCAACAGATTGGGACAATCTCAGTTTGTTCATCCATAGCAACACGTCTGTAAAAGAAGAACATCAATCGAACATACAGGAATTTTTCTACGTAAATTATTTAATTCCAAGGTAAATGCAGAATACAATTCAATACAAAATTCTGTCGCTCTATATTTTATAGAGAAATGTTCATTTTGAACATTTTGAAAAGATCACTATAGTTTTACTATGCTGTAAAAAGAAAACAACCTTTTGCGAAAACACCTTGTGGTGTTCAATCCTAGGATTCATCAATTCTAGAATGTCATAAATCAGAGAGGCCCTTGGCTGTGTTCATTGACCCTAAAAAGGTTCTGTTCACACAGTGCGTACTTTTTGGCTACCAGTTGCAGCTTGACATGTAGTATTACAAGAGTCGTTTCACATTGCTGTATAGGAGCAGAATATCAAGAAAAAACATAGTGCACATGATGGATACCTTAACTACTGATTACAACTAATCTTAACTACTGATTACAACTAATAAAATGGACACTGATTCTTGTTAAGTCGACAAATGATGAAACAATTATTATGGACTAGAATGAAATGCGACTGCTTCTCACTCAATCATTGAAAAAGAAAAGAACAACATATCATTTGTTTATTGTACACAATAAAGATTAGATGCCACAGAATTTCAACCTCCTGCTGATTCAGTTGCACCGGGTGGGTGTTATTATTTTGTGTAAGAAAAAAATGTAGCTGTCATCAGATAAGTTGTAAAAATGTTCAGCCTTGCTTTAAGTCAAACCCAACTAACCCCTGTTATATAGGTGATGTCGCTGTTGTGGGTAGGTGTGCATAGCTTAAAAATTATCCTTCTTATGTATTGCAGATAATACTAGGCAATAATGACACAGGACTGACTACACGGAATTAGGAAAGCTAGGGCAAGATTCTGGGGGAATCATGCAACCAAGCAAGCTTGCATGGCATGCATCCTGCCAATACGAGCGAAGGGGTGCCAGATGCCGAAAAGAACTAGGTTTGAGCAACATTAACAATCTAAGAAAGGCCATATGACGATAGCTACAACACATCATTCAATCAATCAACAGCACTTAGGTAGTGGCAGTGGATCTAGGAGACCAGGGTAGTGGCAATGCTCTTCCTTGATTCTTTGGCAAACTGCACACTCATGTAGAAAAGTTTCAATCTCCTGGCCTTGCGCCAATAAAATAGCTTTTTTACCCTTTGATAGGTAGCCACAATGCCTGAATGGCCTCCTATGGGACATCTTCTCTAAATCATGTAAGTGCGTCAACCCTGACATCGATGATGGAGTTTAATTGCAAAGCTGATAGGATAAGAGGTCAGACTAAGATTAACAAACCAGTTTGTGCTTGGAAGTCAGACTCGTGAATAAATTAGTGGATATGCAATCGCAGCTAATCTTTGACCAGATTTTCTTGTCATCGCGATGACCAGAAGGGATGAAATGAGACAGAGACCAGAGCAGGTTGCTCCTTTCCTCTCTTGCTCTTTCTTCAAGAGAAACTAGTACTTCATCCTGCCAGACCAAAGCTTACGCTTGTGGTTTACAGGCTAATTTCTAGTCGCTCACGTAGGTAGTGATTTCACATACCTTTCTTTGGGCTGACTATTGTGCTGCTAGTCTCCTTGGCAACAGCAGTCAATCCTAGACCCATTTCTTTTCCTTTTCTTGAGTGGGACCTGAAAGAGGATCAAACAAAACGGAGACATGAGCTGCCTGTTCCATTCCTCTCGTGATCTTCACCAGCCCATTGGTTCCCTTGCTAGCTTCTTCAGAAAGCCATGCGGTCACACCATTGCCCAAACAGCAGCAGATTTCCCTTGCCTTTTCTAGGATTGGCTCTCGTGCTGCTGATATCCTTGGCCCCTCCGACCAGCTCCTGCACGGAGCAGGAGAAGAGCTCCCTCCTCCAGCTCCTTGCTGGGTTCTCGCAGGACGGCGGCCTCGGGGCGTCATGGCGGAACGATACGGACTTCTGCACTTGGGAAGGGATCACCTGCAGCCCCAACAGGACGGTCAGTGATGTTTTGTTGGCCTCTCGAGGCCTCGAGGGGTCCATCTCACAGTTCATTGGAAATCTCACCGGCTTGTTGCGCATCAACCTGTCGTGCAACTCACTGTCCGGTGGCTTGCCGCTAGAATTGGTGTCATCCAGCAGCATCCTTGTCCTTGATGTCAGTTTCAACCGCCTGACAGGAGCACTGAGCGAGCTGCCATCTTTAACCCCTGCACGGCCTCTGCAGGTAGTGAACATCTCAAGCAACTTGTTTACAGGAAGGTTTCCATCCACAACATGGGAAGTGATGAAGAGCCTGGTCGCGCTCAATGCCAGCAACAATAGTTTTACTGGGCAGCTACCAACTACACTCTGTCTCAGCGCACCATCTTTTGTTGTGCTTGAACTCAGTTTTAACGAATTCAGTGGAAACATTCCTCCTGGACTCGGTAATTGCTCCATGCTGAAATTGCTCGGCGCTGGCTACAACAACCTCAGTGGGACTCTTCCAGACGAGGTCTTCAAAGTCACCTCATTAGAGCACCTCTCTTTACCTAACAATTGGTTAGAAGGAGCACTTGATGGCATCATCAAGCTCACAAATCTGGTCACCCTTGATCTTGGGGGCAACAAGCTCAGCGGCAATATTCCGGATTCCATAGGTCAGCTGAAGAGTTTGGAGGAGCTGCATTTGGAACAAAACCACATATCAGGGGAGCTGCCATCAGCTCTGAGCAATTGCACACATCTCACAACAATTAGCTTAAAGGGCAACCAATTCCATGGAGAACTTACCAAGGTCAACTTCTCAAACCTGCCCAATCTAAAAAAAATAGATCTTCTGCACAATAACTTCATCGGCAACATTCCAGAAAGCTTATACTCGTGCAGCAATCTGACTGCACTACGGCTCTCGGGCAATCATTTACATGGCCAATTGTCAGAAAAGATAGGCAATCTGAAGTCTCTCTCGTTTCTATCAGTTGCTAACCTCTCCCTTACGAACATCACAAGAACACTTCAGATCCTTGGGAGATCCAGGAGCCTGACCAACCTTTTTATTGGGTCTAACTTCCTGCATGAGGCCATACCAGAGGATGACAGCATTGATGGTTTTGAAAATCTTCATGTTCTTTCTATGAGTGATTGTTCATTGTCTGGAACAATACCTGGTTGGTTATCCAAGCTCACACATTTAAGGATGCTATTTTTGCAAAGCAATCAACTAACTGGACCAATACCTGAATGGACCAGCAGCCTGAACTTGCTCTTCTATTTAGACATATCAAACAACAGCTTCATAGGTGAAATTTCAACTGCCTTAATGGAGATGCCAATGCTAAAATCAGACAGGACTGCGCCAAAGGTCTTCTTTGAACTGCCTGTTTATCTTTTCAGTCCATTTATCCAATACCTCAAACCTGGTGCTTTTCCTAAAGTGCTTAATCTAGCCATCAATAATTTCACTGGTGCGATCCCGGAGGAGATCGGTCAGTTAAGAGCACTCGTCGCACTCAATTTAAGCTCCAACAAATTATCAGGAGAGATCCCTCAAGAGATCTGCAACCTCAGGAACCTGCAGGTGCTCGACTTGTCTGTTAATCATCTTACTGGTATAATTCCAGCTGCACTGAACAATCTGAACATCCTTTCTGAGTTCGACATTACTAACAATGACCTAGAAGGCCCTATTCCAACCGGAGGGCAGCTTAGCACGTTTCCAGATTCTAGCTTTGATGGAAACCCAAAATTGTGTGGTCCTGTGATTGCAAACCCTTGCGGTTCAGCCGTAGCAGATCCAGAGCTCACCAACTCCAGAGAACAGATCAGCACTAATGCCATCTTTGCGATTGCCTTTGGTGCTTTCTTTGGAGTAGGAGTCCTATATGATCAGATGGTCCTAACCAGATATTTTGGCTAGAACCTTGCAACTGTTATCAGTTTATCATCGCCCAAACCATGACGTGATCTCAAGTGGTTCTCAGTTCAGGAAGACCAATTCAGTGGCTGCAGACCCAGCAAGAACAATATCCCTTGTAAACCTGCTATCTTGAGTTAGTGATGTTCATCGTTGTACTCCATGTAACAGAAACATGATTAACGAGTGAACAACATCAACAGTGTGTCAGCACATTATTATTGTGGAACGTCTAACTATTTGGTCAGTATTTACTTTGATACATACGCATACAGTGATGAATGTTTCTCTTGGAGAAAGTTGACTAGAGGAGGACACATAATAAGCAAAATCGCCAAAGCACACATAAGCAATCTGCAGTCTGGTACACTCAAATCTGTAACTATTTGCAGTCTAGCAATCTGTAACTCCAAGTCTCCAACCCAGGATCGCAAGTATCCACAGAAAACAACACTGGCGCTGAGAGAAAATTCAGAAATGTCAACAAAGCTAGCACTACAATGTGGCACGAATTAAGCACCTGCTCCGTGGTTTCTACAATATACCTCGGCAAAGGGCTCACGTCACGTTCGGCCTTGGTCGAATCTCCGGTCCCCTGCCTGCCTGGCCTCCTCAGACCAGCTGAGGCGGGAGGCGAACCGCCGCACGCCGCCGTAAAGGGTCGCCGCGTGGACGGATTTGAACTTAAAACGAGACTAGCGAACAATTAAACATCAACCAGGCGCCCAAGTATTATTTTTTTCCTCAGACTTCCTTTTTTCAGATATATACCTTCTGAGTGCGCGACACTGGACCTGTTTCCTAGCCTCCGGTGTCCGTCCTCCAGCGAGCTTAGCGAACTCGGAGCAGCCGGCCCACCGCCACGCGGGGTCGCCGGGAGTCGCCGCATCCCCCTCGCCAGAGTGCTCCGGGAGGGGGAGGCTTGGTTCGATTTCTGCCTGGCCACTGGCCACCAGAAGTGGGAGTGCGGCGGTGCGGCCACCCTCGGGACGCCGGCGCACTGAGTTGGGCAGGACTCGACGTTGGGCCGTATGGGGGGCAGTATCTGGGTTGGCTTACAGATAACAGTTTGGGCTGGCTTCATCTTGGGCTTCAAATTGGGTGGGCTTAGAGATGCTTCAATGCCTAAAAAAGAGATAAAATTGTACCTGCTCCTTTTTTTGTGGGAAAGGAACTTTTTTTGTGGGTATTGCCAAGCCAGCATAAAAATATCCAGCCATTATATGTACGATGTTGTAGGAGTGTGACTAACAACATTTGCATGGCAACTTATCTTAGCTAAGCTTATTATTGCACATATTCCTTCTGGTTGTCCACAAATGATCAATTCTGATTTCTAAAAAAAATGATCAGTTTCTGAAAAGTTTTTTTCCTACCAAAAAAAAAACTTCTTACAAGCTTTGCAAATGTAGTAGTGTTTTGAGTATACACATACTAATTCTTTTATTTTAATTTTAAACTAATGAAGTGGGTTCCAAGATATGACACAAGTGGGCATTTACACGCAATGATATACACCCCTATAAATATTAAGTGTAGAATGATATATACCCCAAGTGTATTTACGATTGGTTGCCTTGTATTTAGCCGAGCCGAGCTAGAGAGAAGTTGGTATGAACTTTTGCTCGTCCAACTAAAGCTAGTTGCACTGTTGTATGAACTTCTGCAAGTTGACCTAAACTAACTCAATTGTACATATCTTAACCTAGGGATCAAATATGTGCATGTAGAAGTAAAAATAATAATCTAGAATTTCAGTTGATGTCTTGTGTTTCCAGCAAGTGGTTTAGCTGAGAGATTGACAACTCTAGCTAGTATCAAAAAATGACAACTCTCGCAATAGATATTGGCAAAGCATGACACTCTCAAGTGAGCTACTCAACTATGCTCAATCCAAATGTGAACAATAAAGAACACTGGAGTACGTAAACACTGGTTATCACAAAACTTGATTCTGAACTAGTACAACACTATAGGCAACATGCTTCCCTTTTAACTCTTACCTACTACCTAGAAAAAGAACACATGCCCACCAAAATTTACATTTTTTTCAGTAACCTTTTAGAAGTTATACTGATAGGTGTTCTGGTCGGTAAGTAATACTGTATTAAATATAATAAATTCAGCAGCGGTCAATTGAGGTTGAGAGAATAAGCTAAATACCTTATTCCATGTGCAAAGGGTTCATCTCTCTACTCGAGATCTGCTTTCCCCATCGGAAGTTCATCTTCAGCCGTTTGGTCGTTTTGGGTTATGTTTGATGAGATCATAATCTTCAAAGAAAACAACATGACATGTCACAGGGGATTTGGAACTAGATGTCTGATACACATATTAATTATTATATTTGTCTAAATGGGTTGGCCCACAGGTTAAAGGTCATACATGCATCTAACCATGCATTAACCTTTCTGAGGTCCATAAACCAAAAGAAGAGGTACACCTCTTTGTCTAACCCACAAGATTTGCTTTTCTTTAGTGTGGTGGGATGTATGAGGGAGACCATGTCACCGAAAAACGCTTTGACTTTTTTTTTCGAAGACCCTACCTCTTTTTTTATAGGGAGCGGGAACCCTACATCTTTGTCTAACCCACACTATTTGAACCTCAGTCTTGCTGCTTAATTGCTAAAGGCTTACTCTTACTTGTTGGAACCACTATACTTGCGACCATGTCAAAGGCGATCTACTATGCTCACAGACACATATCCATCAACTGACAGTTTGAGGGGTCCGGCTATAGATGCTCTAAGCGTTCATAGACACATGCCCATCAGCTTACGATCTTCTCCTTCCAAGTGAGGAACTGTGACTCTGTGAGGTGGACTTTTTGTACAAAGCAATAAGAATTTGAGGTGGGCTTTTTGTACAAAGCAATAAGAATTCGAGACCCCCACAAAGTCGTAAAGTGGTACGCGTGCAGTTGCAATCTTCAAAGTCTGTTGTCATGCTTCTGTACGTCATAATAAACAGAATAATTTGTAAGAGAAGATTGCATCTGAAGTAGGAGCAAACCTTAATAGCATCCACGCTAGATTTAATATGAAATGTTATTACCCACATGTACAATGATCCATGACATATATGCACTCCCATTGAAATACAATGACACTCTACTTGACACCAAATATTATAGCCACTCAACTACCAGCGAGACACCGGTAGTCAACACTCGACTTAACACGGCATATTATTAGCAACTCGGAAAAAAAATTAGGTGGCATCAAAATGACATCAACAAAAATTTCAAACAGAAATATTCAACAAAACTGACAGAATCCGAATGGACAGCTCTTGTTTTTTTATTTAGGAAATGGTAGTTTAGCATGCTTTCAGAATGGACAGTTTCAGGAAACTGTCAAACAAAAATATTCAAAATGGGCAGTTCCACCACAACACCATGCAGCAACTATTTTTCATATAGCAGGTACACCAAGAAATTTCACATGCCTTCACTTGGCTTGGCTCTCGTGCTGCTGGTCTCTTTGGTCTCTCCGACCAGCTCCTGCACCGAGCAGGAGAAGAGCTCCCTTCTCCAGCTCCTCGCCGGGCTCTCGCAGGACGGCGGCCTCACGACGTCGTGGCAGCACGACACCGACTGCTGCACATGGGAAGGGATCACCTGCAACCAAGATAGGAAGGTCACTGATGTTTCGTTGGCTTCTCGAGGCCTCGAGGGGCCCATCTCGCTGTTCCTTGGCAACCTCACCGGACTTTTGCGCCTCAACCTTTCCCGGAACTTGCTGTCTGGTGGCTTGCCACTGGAATTAGTGTCATCCAGCAGCATCCTTGTTCTTGACATCAGCTTCAACCGCCTCACAGGAGGCCTGAGCGAGCTGCCATCTTCAACCCCTGCGCGGCCTCTGCAGGTACTCAACATCTCAAGCAACTGGGTTACAGGCATATTACCAATCACAACATGGGAGGTGATGAAGAGCCTGGTCATTCTTAATGCTAGTTCCAACAGATTTACTGGTCAGATACCAACTACACAATGTGTTAGCGCGCCATCTTTTGTTGTGCTTGAGCTCAGTTTCAACCAACTCAGTGGGAACATCCCTCCAGGACTCAGTAATTGCTCGGTGCTGAAATTGATTGGTGTTGGCTACAACAACCTCAATGGCACGCTTCCAAATGAACTCTTCAACGTAACCACGTTAGAGCACCTCTCGTTGCCTAACAATAGGTTAGAAGGAGCTCTCGATGGCATTAGCAAGCTCACAAATCTGGTCACCCTTGATCTTGGCGGGAATGAGCTCAGCGGCAATATTCCAGAGTCTATAGGTGATCTGAAGAGATTGGAGAAGCTGCATTTGGAACACAACAACATGTCAGGGGAGCTGCCAGCAGCTCTAGGCAACTGCACAAATCTTGTAACAATTGACCTCAAGGCAAACCAATTTAGCGGAGAACTTACCAAGGTCAACTTCGTAAGCCTGTCCAATCTAAAAAAACTAGATCTTCTTTCCAATAACATCACCGGCACAGTTCCAGAAAGCATATACTCCTGCAGCAAGCTGACGGCACTACGGCTATCTTACAATCCTTTCCATGGTCAATTGTCAGAAAAAATAGGCAATCTGAAGTCCCTCTTATTCCTATCACTTGCTAATAACTCTCTTACAAATATCACAAGAACACTTCAGATGCTTAGCAGTTCCAGGAGCCTCACCACCCTTTATATTGGGTGCAACTTCCTGCATGAGACCATGCCAGAGGATGTCAGCATTGATGGTTTTCAGAATCTCCAGGTTCTTTCTATAAATCATTGTTCATTGTGTGGAAAAATACCTGATTGGCTATCAAAGCTACCGAATTTGGGGATGCTATTTTTGCAAGGCAATCAACTAACTGGACCGATACCTGAATGGATCAGCAGCCTAAATTTTCTCTTCTCTCTAGATATATCAAACAACAGCCTTACAGGGGAAATTCCAAGGTTCTTAATGGAGATGCCAATGCTAGAATGAGATAATACTGCACCAAAGGTATTCTTTGAGCTGCCTGTTTGGAACAAGAACCAATTTCTGCAATACCTCACGCCCAGTGCTTTTCCTAAAGAGCTTAATCTAGCCATGAATAATTTCACTGGTATGATTCCGGCGGAGATCGGTAGGTTACAAGGACTATTTTCACTTAACTTGAGCTCCAACAGATTATCTGGAGAGATACCAGAACAGATCTGCAATCTCACGAACCTGCAGATGCTCGACTTGTCTGGTAATCATCTCACTGGTAAGATTCCAGCTGCATTGAACAATCTGCACTTCCTTTCCAGATTCAACATTTCTAATAATGACCTAGAAGGCCCTATTCCAAACATGGGCCAGTTCAGCACGTTTCCGGATTCTAGCTTTGGTGGAAACCCAAAACTGTGTGGCCCTATGGTTGCAAACCATTGTGGTTCGGCAGAAGCAAGTCCAGTTTCCATTGACCCTATAAAACAGATTGGTAGTGAGGCCATCATCTTTATGACCTCCTTCGGTGTTTTCTTTGGAGTAGGAGTCCTATATGATCAGAAAGTCTTAGCTAGACATTTTGGCTGAAACCATGTAACCGTTATCACCGTTAACAAATGGTTAATATTTGTAAATATTGAGTATAGAATATAAGAACATTTGACTCTGCAGTCCAGTAAAGAAAATCTACAGGGAAAGCACACAAGAGGCGCTCCAATGATAACTTATCACAAAAAATGTCATTTTTCATCTCTTTTGTAGCCTCTCCTGCCTAAAGCTGATTCAGTAAGAATACTTTTCTTTAGTGATAACCAGAAATAAATCTTGATTTTCAGAAGTACTCTAGCACTTATATTAGAGTCAGATGTTTAAATTGCCATGTGTAAAGAGCTAACCAGAAGCCTTGCAAATCAGACCAACTTTGTGTCTCTGTTGTTGTCAAGTACACCCCTGGTGCAGGCTGACTTCATTTCTTCCTACGTAAGTAGGGCGTCTCGCCCAAAAGCATCCTCTTGCACTGCTAAAGTAAATAAGTTAGACACAGACACCGTGGAACCACTAATTTCAGAGCAATCATGTACTGTTTCATGTCAGAATTATTTTTACTGATTCTCCCATGAGCTAACAGCATGCTGCATAAGAAAGCAAGTAGGCACCAAATTCTATTTTCAATTGCGAATATGCATCAAGAAGATCATGTGACAGCAGATGTACCATGATAAAAGAATGCAAATATATTCTAGGCATGACAGGTTGAAAAATGTCTAGCACAGGTAGCATAGGGGAAGGTATAAAAGGGTGCATCGGGAGATCAGACGATCCTTGAATTACATAGGAAGGCATTTATTTTTTTGCAAGAAACATAGGAAGGTGCTTATTCTAGTAGAAAGCCAATGGCGTTAAACTGGTTTGTCATTGTCAATGTTAATCACTTCCTAGTATTATCAGCTAAATATGTCAGCTATCTATGCACTTAATACTCTAAGGGCATAAAATTATAACCCCCAAGCGTGCAAGATCTGTTTTGCACAAACACGATCCCCCTAAATAGTAAGTACTTTTGGTTTGTGGACTCGAAAAACTCAATGCAACAATACGATAAGCGGGAAAAAACAATATTGTCAAACAATCCATATCCTACTTTCAGCATGGCCTGAATCATATATGATAGCATCATACTATTTGGTTGGCGTAAAAGCTGCGCCAGGAGCTGGTGGAAAATTCACCTTCCACTTGCATTATTCCATTTCGCAGTGTTAGTGTGAGAGACATTGATTCAACAGACTTGGCTCCTAGCAGCAGCAGCCGCAGGCCGCTGGCTCGTTGACCTCAGGTTGAAGTGCACTGCCACGGGTCAGAGCTTGATGATGGCGAGGAGGGCGAGTGGCGGTCGGCGGCGTTGGGGAGATCTGGCCGCTGGGCGACGTGAGACGCACCTGCGGGTGAGCCGCGGGCCGCAGCGACGGGGAGAGCCGCCGGTTGTACGCCGACGCGGCGGGGAGGTCAGCGGGGTCGAGGAACGCGGCTCCGGCGGCTGCCCGCCCTGCGGCGACAGATGCTAGGGCATCGCCGGGGGGAGAGAGATATGCAGCCGAGGCGCCAAAGGATGGCAACGCGGCCCAAGGAGCCTGGCCGCCTTCCACAAGAGCTTGGCCGCCGTGAAGGAGGCGACTACACCTGTCCTGCTCATGCGGTCATGCCCTCAAGGTGTTTGCGAGAATGTCGTCTCTGTTTGCAGAATGCACAGTATGCCGTGTCTGACACTTATTTGCAGAATGCAGAACACCATCATTTCATTCCATCGCAGATAAGATCAGTGCCAAGCTCGATAATGGATGGTCGCAATTGTATTAAGCATAGTCCACCTAGCTACATACTGAAAACAGCTTCAATCTTGCTGATCAGCATAGTCGACCTAGCTACACACTGAAAACAGCTTCAAGCTCCTTACTGATCAACGAGCATCGGAGCGACTAAGCTAGCTAACACTTTAGCGACCTTGTGCTTATAGAGGAAGGTTGGAATGGGCAGCTCGCTCGGATCCGGCGACATGATGAAGGTCGGCATAGGCAGCTCGCTCGGGTCCGGCGACACCATGAATGTCGGGCCAGCGAACAAGGATGCCTCCGAGTCCACCTCCATCTTAGCCAGAGCCTTTGGCTTCTTGTCGGGCCGGTCCATCAACGGAGCGAGGCCAGCGAAGGGTGATGCCTCCACCACGGTACGAGGTGTCGCCTTCTTCTCCGACGCCACAGGGCCAGCGAAGAGTGTCGCCACCGAGTCTGCCACCATCTCAGTCGTAGGCTCTGCCTTCTCCGAAAGGTCGATCGACGGAGAAGGGCAAGCGAAGGATGTCACCACCGAGTCTAGCTCCATCTCAGTCACAGGCTTTGTCTTCTTCCCGAACCGGCCGGCCGACGGGGCGGGGCCGGCGGAGATTGATGCCTGCGAAGCTGCCACCATCTCAGCCGGAGGCCTCGGCTTCTTGTCGCACCGGTCGACGGATGGCGCGCGGCTCGCCGGCCTCTTCCAGTTCTCTCTCGGCGTCTCCACGCGGCCGAGGCGCTCGACGCCGCCGTTCAAACTCTCGGCACGGCGGAGCGTCTTGTCAGTGGCCCAGCTGGAGCTCCGGGAAGCACGTCCGGGAAGGTCGATCTTGTCTCTGATCCAGCTTCTGCTCATCGAGGCACGTCCAGGCTGCTGCTTCTTGGTGTCCAGCTCCACACGAGCCGTGTACACCGCCGGAGGAGGCGTCAGGAGGAGGCAGCGCGCCGGGGTAGGCAACAGCGGCGGCAAGGTCGCAGCGACATGGCTAGCCATCTCTGCAAAACACAGGACACAGCAAAGAACAGAGAGACCAAGTGATTGCACAAGCGAAACAAGTAAACAGAACAATTGCGATGCTGAAATTCAGATGATGACCGGAGAAGAAAGAGGAAACTCGCCGGATTCTTTGCTCGCCGTCGGCGAGAGAAGCTCGCCGGGTTGTTAGGTCGCCAGGAGAACGTCGCGCGTGATCTATCGAGGGGACGGCTTGCTCGTCGGATCGAAGGAAAAGTGCGATCTATCCCCGCAGCCCGGCTGATATAGATCGACCCCCGATGCCCCGCCGCGTAGAAACCACGCAATCCGAGTTCGGCTCGTAACCGCCGCCAGCGCCGCCGCCCGTGGTCCAACCGCCGGAGCCACCAGCGACGCACTCATCCGATCTTTCCTCCTCTTCGTCGGTGGCCTGGGCATCCCGCGGTGGCGCGACTGCGCCTGCGCCTCCATTCCGCCGCCGCGTGCCATCCTGGCTCGGCATCGCGGCCGTCGTGGCCGCCGAGCTCTGTTACCCGCATGAGTCGCAGCTGTAAGAACCACGGTGAGGAGTCGCAGCAGCGACGAGATGCTGGCCGGGGTTGTTGCTTTCCTCCTGCGCTGATTGCTGCTCTTCCACGCTGCTCCATGGGTGGTCAGTTGTTGCGCTTGTCAAATGTTTGATGAAATGCTTGAGCAGGATGCCCGGTCCTTTCAATCAATTTGAGCAGAAGCAACTCCAGTAGTTCAATGTTAATAGAGCGAAGGGCGGATGCACATTCACGAGTTCACCATGTGTAATCACTAATTAATCTAGCATAATAGGACTAAAGTCTACACTGACAAATAAGCTGGCACCTTAAGCCACCTACGATTCTCAAACTGAACAATCGAAACTGCATTTCTCAGTTATTGTTGGTGTGCATTTGTTAATTCCATGATAGATGCATATGTAACTTGGCGGCTTCCATGTATTATAATCCACTGAAATTGTTTGAAATTTGTGACTGGTTGCTTTTCTGCTTCATTCTATAAAGTGGGGCAGGGGGACCCCTTTCATTAAAAAAAACTAAAATGGTTCGAAATGAAAAAGTCAATACAATGCTCATACAATTTGTTTATTTTTTGAAAATAAAATCCATTTGAAAAATAGATAATTCATGAGCTTATTATGTAAGTAGCTTTGAGATTCCATCTATAAATAATTCTATTTTAATTTGTAACCCATGTCTTACCCAATTCATGACTTGTATTATTATGGTTATAATGCTTTAACTCTTGCGGTGCCTTCCCAGGTGCCGCTGTCGACTATCGGGATCACTGCCAATCTCATCAAGGCTGAATTGTGCAACTACATCGGGGATTGCCATGACAGCACCTTCTCCTGGAAGGTTCGAGAGGTTTTTGCGGTTTTTGATTCTTCAACTACATCCAATTATCAGAGGTCTCCTGTTGGTTTTTGCGGCTTCCCTTCCGCTGTGATGGAGTCAAACTTGACAGATCTAGGGTAGGGGGTCCCAAGCTGGTAGCCTTAGGATGATGGTAATAGGGCAAGGGGGACACGATGTTTGCCCATATTCAGACCCTCTCGAAGATGTAAAACCCTACGACCTACTTTGTTTGTATTGATTATGGATGGGGTACAGAATACATGTTGATCCACCTCGAGATCGTGTATAAATGAGTTGGTTTTTCTCTACGGACTACACCCCTCTGTTTATATAGACGCCTGGGTACCTAGGATTACACATAGGTTGGTTACATTCGAAGATAAACACGTCAAAGATGCATTCATGCCTTGAAGTATGTGTCAAGTCTTCGGAAGATCTCATCTTGCACATAGGTCGGTTACATTCGAAGATAAACACGTCAAAGATGCATTCATGCCTTGAAGTATGTGTCAAGTCTTCGGAAGATTTCATCTTGCACATAGGTCGGTTACATCCGAAGATAAACACGTCGAAGATTGCATTCATGCCGTCTTGATTCCTCCATGGGGCCCAACGAATGTGGCCCACTGGTTGGTCATCTGGGGGTTCTCGACCCAACCAATGTCTCGGAGCCGACGTGGTTAACACCCCCCCATTCAGGATACCATCATTAGCCCTCGAACCAGTCTTCAAGCCGAGGACTATCCTCACAAAGGTTGTTGTTCATCTTAGGTCTTTGGCCTTGTAAATTGGTTCAATCATCTTCTTTGCGTGTTTGTCTCCAGAGTGACCAGAATCTTGTCCGAGGAGCCCCAACTAAGCTTCCAAGTTTTTTTCTTTTTGCCGGATCCGAAGACCCTTTCAGTGCCTAGTTATCTTAACGACGAAGTCTTCTTGTGTCAGGATGGGGACGTCGGTTTGGCGGTGTTCTGACAACTTCGACCGAACCCGAAATGCTACCACGCCTGCAAAACCGAAAGATGCCTTGAGTTATCGTTATATCGTGTTAGTGCAGCACGAGGCCATTACAATTGGCACGTATTGTCAATAAAGTGACCGGGCCCCAGATTTTTGGCGTCATTACCAGCAAACCCCCTCGATTCACATGCACACGTTACACATACCACATTGGGTACTCGTGAAATTTACTACCACACAGTACGCGCCTTCGGTGTTTTTACTTTTTACTGGCTTATAAAAGGCACACTGTAAAATGAATCAATCACCACGCTTTCCATCTTGCTCCTGCTTCCATCATCCTCAAGCTTCAGTGCCCAAAGAACAGAGCAAAAGCCTTCTGAGCTGCTTTCCCTCTCTCGGTTCTCTAGCGTTCTTCTACTCCCATTGGAGTTGTTGGATTCCCTGAAAAGGAAAGGTGATGTGTCACAACAATAGAAAATATTTTCCTCGGTTAATAACAAAAAATTATTGAACTAGTAGGAGTCTACAAGCTAACAATGTAAACAACACCCGCACACAAACACAAAACAAAATGTTTGCACCCAACTTGTCAAGAGAGTTGTCAGTCCCCTTGTCTTGCCATTTGTCGGGGGGTGACCCCCAGGTAGTCCCAAGATGTCGAGCCGGACAGGGTGCCTGCCTGCCCGGTGCTACTTGTGAACTGTGTTGGGATTTCCCCGAAGACGAGAGGATGATGCAGTATAGTAAAGATAAGTATTTCCCTTAGTTAAGAACTAAAGTTATCAATCCAGTAAGAGAACCACGCAACACCTCGTTAGCAGCACCTGCACACAAATAACAAATCCTTGCAACCCAACGCGAACAAGGGGTTGTCAATCCCTTGGCGGTTACGTGCAAGATAAAATTATGTAGTAATTGATAGATAGATTGAAAAAAATACAAAATAAAATAAATAATATAAAATTGCATCAAGGTTTTGTAGGATTTTTAGTATGATAAAAGTAGACCCGGGGCCATAGTTTTCGCTAGAGAGTTCCCTCTTGAAAATAGCATATGTTGGGTAAACAAATTACTGTTGGACAATTGATAGAAAAACAAGTAATCATGACGTTGTCCAAGGCAATGATCATGTATATAGGCATCACGTCTGATACAAGTAGACCGATCTCTTGCCTTACTATTACTCCAGACATCGAACGCTATCCAGCATGCATCTAAAGTATTAAGTTCATAAAGAATGGAGTAACGCCTTACTAAGCAAGATGACATGATGTAGTGATGACCCACAAGTATAGGGGATCAATTGTAGATCTTTTCGATAAGTAAGAGTGTCAAACCCAACGAGGAGCAGAAGGAAATGACAAGTGGTTTTCCGTAAGGTAATGTCTGTAAGTGCTGAAATTGTAAGTAGCAGAGTAGTTTGATAGCAAGGTAATTTGTAACGAGCAAGTAATGATAGTAGTAACAAAAGTGCAGCAAGGTAGCCCAATCCTTTTGAGGCAAAGGACTGGCCAAAACGGTCTCTTATGATAAGCAAAGCGTTCTTGAGGGTACACGGGAATTTCATCTAGTCACTTTCATCATGTTGGCTTAATTCGTGTTTGGTACTTTGGTAATTTGATATGTGGGTGGACCGATGCTTAGGTGTTGTTCTTACTTGAACAAACCTCCTACTTATGATTAACCGTCCCGCAAGCATCCGCAACTACGAGAAAAGTATTAAGAATAAATTCTAACCATAGCATTAAACTTTTGGATCCAATCGATCCCTTACGGAATAGCGCATAAACTGGGGTTTAAGCTTCTGTCACTCTTGCAACCCATCATCTAATTGCTACTCCATAATGCATTCCCTTAGGCCCAAATATGATGAAGTATCATGTAGTCGACGTTCACATGACACCACTAAGGGAATCACAACATACATCCTATCAAAATATCGAACACATATCAAGTTCACATGATTACTTGCAACATGATTTCTCCCGTGACCTCAAGAACAAAAGTAACTACTCACAAATGATAGTCATGCTCAAGATCATAGGGGTATTAAATAGCATATTGGATCTAAATATATAATATTCCACCAAATAAACCATATAGTAATCAACTACAAGATGTAATCAACACTACTAGTCACCCACAAGCACCAATCTATAGTTTCAGTAACAAGATTGAACACAAGAGATGGACTAGGGTTTGAGAGGAGATGGTGCTATTGAAGATGTTGATGGAGATTGCCCTCCTCAAGATGGGAGAGTTGTTGTTGGTGATGATGATGATGATTCCCCCCTTCGGGAGGGAAGTTCCCCCGACAGAATCGCTCCACCGGAGGGCAAAAGTGCTCCTTCCCAAGTTCCGTCTCGAGACGGCGGAGCTCCGTCCCAAAAATCCTCTCCTTACTTTTTCTAGGTCAAAATGACTTATATAACAGAAGATGGGAACCATAGGTGGAGCTGGGTGAGCACAACCCACGAGGGTGCGCCTAGGCTGTCTGGCGCGCCCAGGTGGGTTGTGCCCACCTGGTGGGCACCCTTTGGTAGTTATTTACTCCAATATTCCTCAAATATTTCATAAAAATTCTCCGTGAAGTTTCAGCTCATTTGGAGTTGTGCAGAATAGATGGCCTGACGTAGCTTTTCCAGGTCCAGATTTCCAGCTGTCGGAATTCTCCCTCTTTGTGTATATCTTGCATATTGATACGTCTCCAACGTATCTATAATTTTTGATTGCTCCATGCTATATTATCTACTGTTTTGGACTATATTCGGCTTTATTTTCCACTTTTATATTATTTTTGGGACTAACCTATTAACCGGAGGCCCAACCCAGAATTGTTGTTTTTTGCCTATTTTAGTGTTTCGGATAAACAGAATATCAAACGGAGTCCAAACGGAATAAAATCTTCGGAAACGTGATTTTCTCACCGAACGTGATCCAGGAGACTTGGACCCTACTACAAGGGATCAAAGAGGTGGTCACGAGGGTGGGGGCTCCCCCCTAGGGCGCGCCCCCTGCCTCGTGGGCCCCTTGGTGCTCCACCAACGTACTCCTTCCTCCTATATATACACACGTACCCCCAAACGATCAGAACAGGAGCCAAAACCCTAATTCCACCGCCGCAACTTTCTGTATCCACGAGATCGCATCTTGGGGCCTATTCCAGAGCTCCGCCGGAAGAGGGCCGTCATCACGGAGGGCTTCTACATCATCCTAGCCCCTCCGATGAAGTGTGAGTAGTTTACCTCAGACCTTCAGGTCCATAGTTAGTAGCTAGATGACTTTTTCTCTCTCTTTGA